CTCCTGGCCTTACTACTAGGAGCAAGAAGCTACTAGGAGCTCCTGGCATCGCTACTAGGAACACGAGCGCTACTAGGGGCTCTCCTGGCCTTACTACTCACACAACTTGCGCTCGCTGTCGACGCGCTTCCCGCGACCCTGCACCATGTTGGTGGGTGTCCGGGAGTGGGGTCAATATCGTCTTGTCGGATAATGACAGTGCAAAAAGCTACCACGTGAGACGACTAGCTACGTGAAACCGAATGTCCGCGCTGCTCGTAGGAGTCTTGGTGATAAATTCCTAATTTGGCGCTGGAATCACAACTGAGTCAAGATCACCATTTTTATTCCACACTTTTCGGAGGTTGCGGCGATATTTGAACTTCTGCTCGAATGTGAGTGGTTGAGCTGGAACAGTGGGAAAATATGCTTTCGCATAACGCATGGGCACCAGTCCGTCTGGATGGTATGGGGGCTTACAATGTAAGTTTTCTGCATAGAGGACCAGTGTCTGTTGAACTGCACCTGAATTGGGGATTTCCGGACGAGAGGCAAAGCCACCGGTATAAGACCTTCCCCATCCCACTTGTGCTAAGCTGGGTGACCCGGTTTTGGAGCATTTTGGAACCAGAGGTGTAGTGGCATAACCTTGTAGATAAATGACGATGGTACGAAAGGCTTCGGCCTGTTCCCGTAAAGAACGACGCGTGATGGGAAGGGCTAGCACGGCCGGATCTTGCCAATGAAATGGTTGTGCCCTAGCCTGACCATCTTTGCGAATCCACGTGGGGAATTGCAAACCAGTATTGACGATGAATGCGACGGCTAACTCATGCCAAGTAATGCCTGAAACTCCCACTTCATCGGAGGGGGGAACATCGGGAGTCGGCCATTTAAGACTAGCGCAAAATCTCAACACCAAATCAGCATATTGGTTACCCCAGACGCACGCGGTAATGAAGGCTGGGTGAACCATTGGGGTCAAACAGATTGGTTCTGAGAGAATCTTATACAATTCGCGCTTACGAAAAAGGGTACCCCAATCTGCTGTAGGATCATGATGAATAGCACGAGAGATCTGTGGACTCTGACCTTGCTTAAGGGTAGCATGAGCCTGGTTCAGTGCGGCAAGATACTTCAGAATGACTTTAGTTTGAACGAATTGGTCATTGTGCCAAACCCGAGCCTGTTGGAACAGTGAATCGACAACGGCATGATCCGTCTTACGGGCTTGAACAGCTGCATGATCTGCCCATGAATTACCCATAACATCATCTCTGGCAGGACCCGGGGGCACGTCATGGATGTTCTGATGTGAGCGAACTTTACGAAACACAAATTTGGACGGAGACCACGACTGTGCAATAATTTGAAGCAAGTCTGCATTCGCGAGGCGATGCCACGAAGGGAAGCTATGTGGCTGTGTGATCTGATTAATGGTATTAATGACATACTGCGAGTCTGTCGTAATAACAATTTGTTGTGGCCAATGATTTTGTGTGGCATGTTGAATAATCCAAGTGACTGCCGCAAGTTCCGCCCGGGCGATAGATTGGGGTCCCCGCACATGTTGAATTTTAATGGTAAGAAACGGGATCGTAATTGAATCTGGCCGAAACTGAATGACTGACCACGCAGCCCTGCGAGTTTCTGGATGTAATGGTGTATCTGCCGATCCATCTGTATAAAAGTAGAGAACATCTGCTTCCTGCCGAATATGGGTGTGTCCAGTGTCCTGACCCCGTGCCATTAAGAATTGACGCAACTCGGCCATGTGCGGGAAAGTTCCGGGTAAAGGGATCCATATCTTCTGTGGATGAGTAGTTAGATAGGTTACTGCCTGCGGATGTTGATTGCGAATCTCCTGGAAAGCCGGGCATTCAAGTTGCTGATGTGTATGTGTATCGATCTGATCGCAATATGGGCAGTGTGCGTCAGTAGTGGCTGACCATAAGGCTTTTACGGCCCCGACTTGATACCCTCCAGTAAGGTTATATGCAATTAATCGGATAGAGGCTATCGGTAAAGTACGCAGGACCCGTGACAAAATCACAAAGTCAAAAGGATAATCCTGGACTCCTTTACGGTGACAAATATTGCGATTAATCTGATAAGCCCAAGCCAAACGCAACTGTTGTCGGATGTACTTAAGGGCATCGCACCGGATGGAAACAGACAAGTATCCGTCAAGGGTAAGGCGACCATCGGAGGCCAAAGACCAGCCAACTTGATGAAGATAGCGAGCGAGGGCCCCGGCGGGGCCAACTGCAGGGCCATCATGCTGTAGGACTGCTTGTAAAAAGCGATTGGCTAAATCTGGATTGACATGGGACATGCGACGCAAGAATGCCAGGGCATTTGTGATGACGTAAAGCAATGGGTCCTGTAATTGGGTGCTGAACAGGTGAACTGCAAGCCAACTTGATATCTGTGCTTCTGGGCCGATTAACGCCGTGGTGGCCTCCCGACGGAGTGTTCTGAAATGTTTGTCGCCAACAATTTGGGTTTCGGCCCCATAGAAAGCATGTGGCCAGATGGCTGTCTGGATGATCCGAGCTTTGTGGGCGATGTCTAATTGGAACCATCGAATGCGTTTGCATCGTTGGACTGCACTAGCAATTTTGGTCTTAAGATGTCCTAAGGTGATGTGGTGCGTATAGTGGGTCATACAACCGAGATCTTTAGTGGAGTTGAGGATCTTGACTGGGTTGTCATCTGGAAATTCGTGATGTAGGAATGTCTGCCAGTCGTGGCGTGCATCCAGGGTAGCTCCCCAGGCCCACGATTTAGTAAAATCAATCTGCATGCGTAGGGCCTCCACAAGTTGTTTAATTTTCTGGAATGTCAAGATATTGTCACGTTGGTTTGTGGTCAGGTAGGACCAGTTATCGGCATAAGCATACGGAAAGACCGTCGGTGTCTGAAGTGTCCAGTAAAACGTTGAAGAAACTACTAACATAGCACAGACTGACATACTGTCTCCCTCTGGCACCCCCGTAGTCATATGAATTGTCGGTCCGACAGCATTACGAACTTGAAGTCTACGTGTCATATTGCGAAGGTTCTGAAACCAGAAGGTCACTGATTGAGGAGGTGCGCCATGATGGACGAGGAGATGATAAATAACACGGCGGGGGAGTAAATTAAATGCTTTAATCAAGTCGAGGGTAAAACCTCGCCACGGAAGGGAACGGGTCTTAGCTGACTCGATTTGAAATTGTTGCATGAACGTAATGTCTTGGACTCCTCTGAAGGGCAAACCGCCTGAGATGGCACTCGGCCATGTAAAGGCCCATTGATTTAACAACTGATCAGCGACAAGTTTGGGCGTGAGACGACTTAAGTAACCAAGAATGGTAATTGGGCGGCCGTCTGTAATAGCAGTGGGGGGCTGTCGTTTGGCTAATAAGACAACTCGAGCAATTAGATGGTGCGCGGACAGCCCTCGTGGCCAAATGATGGCCAAAATACTAGCAAGATCTTCGACGGCTTCATATGGGAGTGATTGTAGCTCCTCGGCTCTCCAGCCATCAATTCCAACGGCTTTAAATGGTTTAAGGCGTTGGATAGTTTGTCGCAAAATCTGGGGGTCATCCCAATGTACTTGCAGCGGTGTACTTGGCGGGATACGACTACAGAGGGATTGAATGGTCTGTTCCCACGGGTGGTCGGAGCACTCCTCGTGTGGTGAATCACGATTCCAAAATTGAGACCAGTATTCTTCGAATGGAGCTGCCATTTGATTGACTTCGAATGCAAAAACCTCTTGGACGAGATCTCCATGTGTAGGGAGTTGACCATGTAGGATATGACATATGATACGGGAGTCATGCTGTTCCATGATCCGAATCTGGGCGTTGCCAAAGGTTGCTGCCGCATATAAGCGAAAAGTCACTGGCTGATGAATGGTCAGGGAAACCGGTCCCTTGTTTGATCGACAGAGTGTGGCTTGTGCAGTAATGCGGACAGGGAAACCTGGCAAAACTTTGGCATCATGGTCTTTAAGTCGTTTGTAGAACTGTGAACTCGATTTGTATTGTATATCTAGGTTCAAGGCATGCTGACGAGATTGGCGCCTCAGTTTGGCTTCATGCTGGCAATATAAGTCGGCATCATACTGGGTAATTTGACGGAAGCAGTAAATCTGATCATAGTTTGGAAGGTCCTGCGGGACTGCTGAAACGGACTCGAACTGGAGGAGCCAATGTGCCCATGAACGTCCATAACCGTTGGCGGAGTAAATGACTTGCCACAAATGTCGCAGT